AATAAATGCACTCGATTGCCGATTTCTTCTCGAAGATGAATGACGTCATTGCCACGCATAACTCAGCGGCGGCCCACCACATAACAAGGACATATTTAGGACGTGACAATGTGAAATGCCCATTTTTGGTATGAATAAGGTTTTCTATGGACTATGCATGTATTTTGTTTGCGTTTTTGTTTTTCTGCTGCTGGTTTTTTATTCAGATTCCCTTGAGACATTTGTCGATTCTGCTTGCATGCATACTGCATTCAGGTTTGGCTTTATGCACATTTTCAGCCATTGAACGCTTTTACCTTCTGCCGGTTTGGCAAAATAAATTATTGGGTTGAAGGTATTTTATCATAAACAAAGTTGGGTAAGTTGTCATCTAAGTGAAACAAAATACAGTGGCGTAAATTCTTTTGTTTTACCGATTTAGTACAAAATCAGTGACAAACTTTTTCGTGGCGAGCTGGAACGCGGAAATTTATAAATGGCATTAGAAAAAAGTAGTTATCTTTTGATATGTGTATATACTTATGTATAACGATGGTCCTCTGCAATAACGCACAATTAAGATTTCAAAATATAAACAGTTTTACTACTGTTAAGTTGCTCTTGTCTCTAATACTTGTCTAATCCATTTTCTACACTTACTAAAGTAAGCAGTAAGGAGGCTAAAGTAAGTATTAAAGATTAGACATGGATTCGACAAGGATTAGTGGCATGAGTAATGTGACCAACTATTTCATAGCTCAAAAAAGTACAGGTTAGATTGGGTTAAAGTTAACGCCGCAAGCCGATTATGAAATTTCGAATGCCGAAATGCTTCCTATCCTCGCGATGGTTGGACAGTCTAACAGAAAATGGGGAGATGATTCCACTTCATCTTCCTCTTGACAGCTGATACAAAAGGACTGGTCGAAATTCCTAGTCTCACCGCATGAATACCAATCGCACAATGGCCTGTCAGAACCACCATCACTAGCCCTTGAGAGGTGACGTGTTTTAAAGTGCCCAATAAAAACATTTGCTGCAGCAAAGAAACGTCTTACTTTGCTTTTTTATGTCACAAAAGGACCCTGTTTCCCTTACCCTAATAGCATTGCGTGCTGCGACAATTCTGTCTGCAATATCCGCTAATTCCTCTTTTATAAGTGTAGCCTTCTCTAGTGAGTTCCACCAGACAAGGGCTCCTTGAAACAATATAGGCTTAAATCTGGTTTTCTAGAGCTAATGAATTAATTCGGGCGAGAGACCCCACCTTTCAACGGTAGCTCCCCTGCCGCAGTACAAGGCCACCGACACCTTTCCTACCCTTTCCTCAATGTTAGGCTTCCACGACAGCCACCGTTGATCGCCCAACAAGTTACCTCGGTCAGGTAACCTTGAGCCAGATCAAAAAGGGTGTATAGCAATCGTCCCTTAACTAAAAGTTACACTTCATCTACATAGGAGATCACCCGACAGTCCACATTTTCCAGTTCCAAGGTCGTTTACCACCGCATTCCAGAGCTGAGGAGAGGGAATACCACGTTGTGGCGTGCTCCTATTGACTCTGCCCTGTGTGCAAATGCTCTCCCACTCCGCCGCGGCAGTTATGTCACGGAGTAAGCTGTAGATAAGTCTTATTAGGTCGGTTTCAACCCCCAGATTATGAATATACTTGACTATTGCCTCTGGAGTGACATTGTTGAAGGGCCCTTCGATATCGAAGAAGGTCCCTACTGTATAATCTTCACGCGTGAAGGCTTCCTCTGACCACTTTACCAATGTATTCAGGGCGGTATTCACCGACATTTTCTTGCAATAAGCATATTGAGCTCTTGAAAGACAGTCACGAGGAATCGCGTTTCTTATGTACAGGTCTATCAGTTTTTAGAAAAAGCGTTTTTCGTTTACGTGGTACAAGAAATTATTGCCGCAGTGTTAAATATTTTTTATCGAATAAAAATATTTCTCTTCATAAATCTTCAAACAATAAAATTATGATGCATATTTAACTTTATTATTTTACTAACTATGGTTTTTATAACCGATAATCTCATCTCATATATCCAAAAAAAAGTTGTTTCATGTGCTCGTAACCCATCGTAACCACGCACAATTTGAAAAAAATTGCTTAGAGTTATTTTTAATCACAATTCTATTGTTGGAAGATTTCTGAAGTGAAAGATTTTATCTCGATCAAATATATTTATATTTAACGATTTTATAGTAATTCTACGAAAAAATGTATTTTCCCCATATAAAATGTAGGTATGTAAATGAATGCAAAGCTCTGCCGGCACGCTAAAATATTCAACAATTTCAAACAAAAAATACGGCTCTCCATATTTTACATTTTTGCTAATTCTGGGGGGTAGCGCAAGAAAATTCCAAAAAGTTGATTTTCCTGTTTATTTTTTCACCACCTTACTCTACTAATAGTTGTGTGTGAATGTTTGTGCACTTATAATAATAAGAAGTAAGTAAGTGACCTACTGTGCAATGCAAAAAAATCTCGCAGTTTTTGGCTTTCCGATCGCACCAAATTAAGTCCTTGCTGACCTTGTAATATTTAGTAATTTTAGGCGTTTTTACTTTTGCTTTAATAGTTTTTTTTTTGTGTATACGTACATACATATAAATGTACATATGCGTATGTATAAATGCAAAAAAGGGAAACAAGTATTGATGAAAAAGTTATTGACGCCAAGTGTAATTTTTGCGTTTTAAATTTATTTGCTTGCTAATAAATAGCAGCACTAACTGCAATTTAAGTGAAAAATGATTTTCTTTCCCTTCTGCCAGTTTTTAACCTATTTCAGAAATAGGAGGAGCTTCAGTTCGTCGGAATATTTTTTTTATGTATGCTTTGGACCACGTTAACTGATTCCTTTTTTTAAAGGAACGGTGGTACCTCCGAGATGGTTCCATACTCATTTGATTCAGATCGGATCATTGGATCATGAAGAAATTAACGGCATTCTTCAATTTTTTTTTTTGAGAATTGAAGTCGGTTTTGTTTTTTGCTTAAAAATTACTTATTATATATCATATTGCTTCCGTGAAACTGCCTATATGCATCGAGATTAGGGTCATATAATTTATAATTTATTCTTTATCTACTCTTACGTCAGCGTTCGCGCACCCTAGCCAACGTTGGCAACCCGTGCGCGAGATGCGGCCCCAACCCCTGGAGTGGAGTCACTCCGAAATATTCGGCTCAAGAATTCACTGTAATATGCAGCGTCTGCTCACCTTGAGGCGCGGCTACAAGTAGGTGTCGATCTTGATGCAAGCGGTTCGCTAAAAGTACTTAACACAATTTTCCCAGGTTCTGGTTGATTACTAAATTTGGTACCTTTCTCGTAAAAACTAATTTCAATGAAAGCGTCAAAAAACCTCAAATGATAAATCGTCCTAGGCGATTTCAATGCCAGGGTTAGGAAGGAAGGGATATTTAATCACACCGTCAACAAATTCAGCTACCACGTCGAAACATCCTCGTTATCTGCGTGAACGATTTCTCTGGACCCCAAAACTAGTTCGACGATCAAATATTGACTCGAATCACACAAGGAAAGTTCGAAGTCGAAAAGCTGCAAATATAACTGGTCTCTGAGAGCACTCTTGTACAAACGCATATATGCGAGCAAAGGGCTCAGTACGCTATGGCTTAGATGTAGGATATTGAAGAGGTATATGAGCCCAAAATAGGTGAGTGCGAAGAGCTGAAAATGCTGGCCGGTAGGAAATATTCCCATCATTCATTCGATCAGAAAAATAATGTTATAAAGGAACATTTCTCCACCCTGCTAATTGGCAATGAAACTAGCAGAGAAGATGAATCCGAGCCCATACTCGAGCGCGACGGAGCCGATGTACACTCGTACATACAACTAATCGACTATGACGAGGTACGACATTCCCACGACAGCCCAATCTACGTACCGGAATGACTCGGGTTTTACCCGACCAAGGGCTGTTGTTTCGGCGATCTAACCCCGTTAAGTCGATCAAGCGTTGTTCGTCCATATGGCTATATCTGCTACGCACTCTTCTGCTCAGGGCTGGCATCGAGTCAAACCCTGGGTCAGAAGCCTACACCTGCTGCCAATCTGGGCGGGTTGCCGCTACAACAACAATAACAAGGTACGAATAGAAATTTGCGTGTCTGACGAACTTAACGATTGCTTCACTACACTCTTCAAGTGAATTTTGATAAGTTTCCTGAACTTATCAGAAGAAAAAAATGCGGCATGCGAAAATTTTCCAACAATCACATAAATACAAATACAATATTTACAACATAATTTGTACAATAATACATTTTCCTATTGCTGCATTGGAATCAGGTATTTTTGATATGCAACATTTCATTTTATTGACAACTTATTCTGGAGGTTAGCCTGTTTACGCCTCACACACCTCACTTGCTGTCCTGACTAGCTTGGGTTTTTGATTTTATTTATTTATGTACGAGTATTTCTTTCTGATTTCATGCGAACGTGTGATAGGATTGGGCTGATGTCTATAGCATCTAAAGTCATTTTGTGATGACAATTTCAATTGCATCGTTCAGTTCATTGTGTTAACTCGATAACGACGGTTGTGTGATTACGCTCTTAGCTCAAAAACAGGTGCCTCAATACTTACAAAGCTAATTTATACAAATATGGCTAAATGCTGTCGATTTACTGTTAAAAGCAAAAATTATACCGAAACATAAAACTAAAAGAATGCTAATCAAAAAACTTTAAAAATTGTGTGACAAGGAGTGTGCTAAAGATTTGGCTAATTAAGCCAAAAATTTCTGGTGAAAGAAAGAAAACACTTTTTAAGCAATCAAGCAAACAACTTTATATCTACATACATACGTACAAAATACCTTAAATATTTAATTATTTTTTTTTTCGCTCTCAAATGCAATACCTTTCTAGCGTCTTGCACTGATTATTTAATTATTTTTGCAGTGTTAAAAGAAAAAAACAAATTATCTACAATTTTTGCTTTGCCATTACAGCTTACAGCTTACAACATTTGATATTTGCCGGTAAGATTCGAATTTGTGGTGAGGCGCTTTGCTTGTTCACAGCAAACCACAAATCAATCAAACAAATTTTTGTTGTTGTTGTATTGCATGCGTCTACTGCTCTGCCACAGTTGTTGTGGTCGATTGTGTTCTTATTGTTCACAGTGGTGGGTGCCGCTGATGTTGTCGCGCCGACGACGCAAACTAATATCTCCGTTTGTGTGTAATTCTATATTTTTTAATAAATTGCACTAAAAGCGCGCTTTGTTCAAATTATTCAAACATTATACTAATAATAATTTGTTATTTGTTGTTATCTTTGCAAGTACGCTAGTTATTTAGCTTTCGTTTAATTACTGCGATCCGAGTGAGGCGTATTTTTGTCGATATTTTTTTTTTGGCTGTTGTTTGCCTACTGACGATTTTTATTGCCCTGGAGCAACGCATTTACCAGCGAAGAAACTACATACATACATATAAGTTCAGAGGAGCAAGTACGAGGTGAGTTAATATATATGTATGTATTTTTAGGTTGGTTGTTCGAACATAATTTTTGAATATTTGAGTTTGATGATACGTGGAAAAAAAAATATTTTGAGGATTCACAAGTCGTGTTAGACGTAGTAATGAAGTCTTAAAATTTTTCAAAGTAAAATAACGGTTAATACCTTTTTAGGCAATTTGTAACTTCAACATAATATATAACTAAATAATATATGTATATACATATAAATATATTATTGGTTCTTATAATACCCTACAAACCTTTTAATAATTTTAAGGCTTTTAAACATAGCGACGCTTAATACGACTTGTGAATCCCCTTATCCGATCCCCCATTTACATACATATATGATCGTCATCGAAGCTTTGAGCTGGGGTATAGAATCACTCACAGGTGTATTTTGCATTGATTTTTTTACGATATTCGAGGTGCTTTTCATCGTATTTTTCTTTTGGGAAGTTTTTTTTTTATAAAAATATGGCTCATACTACAACGAAAACCATGCAAATCAAAAAAAAATTTGAAGCTTTGGTGCAAATTTACGAAAATTCAGTAAATTTGCATCGAAATTTCATACTTGTTAATCAGAATTTTCACCAGCATGCAGTTTTATAAGGAATTTTTTGGTATGGAAGAAAATGCTCAACGCAGTTAGCAAAAAAAATTATTAAAAATCAACAGGAATGAATGGGCTATAAACTGCGTACTGAACTTTTTTGTAAAGATTCTAATTAAAAAATTTGAAGTTTTTATGAAAATTTACTGAATCGTTAATTTTCTCCAAAGTTTGAAATTTTGATTTACATGGCTTTTGTTGCAAAATATGCTTAATTTTTATAAAAAAAATAACGCAAAAACTTTACTATAAAAAACATTTTGAATATCGTGAAGAAACCAGCGCAAAAAAAAAATAAAATCCTAGTAATATTATATTTAAATGTGAAAGTTTGTATGTTTGGCTGTTTGGGGCTCCATCACGCGGAAACGACTGAACGGATTTGCATGAAATTTTGCACACAGATAGTTTATGACCTAGAGTTGCCATCTGTTAAAAAACTTTAATTAAGTTAATAAGTTCAATCAAATATTACAATACAAGTGTAAAATGAAAAAAAGTCTAAGAGAGCTCAATTTCGAAGATATTTTTGAAGAGAGTTGCCACCTACTTGAAAATGAAATTTCTCACACAGATGGTTTACGATCTGGGTTGAAAAAGAGTGTACTTCCTTAACCACTTTTTCGATCAGAACCAAATTTGGCACACTCACTATGTATTTCTTAAGGATGGTCTTAGACAGAAAATAATTCCGATAGATCAAGAAGGCATACATATCTCTGGTCTAAATACCGTACAGCTTTAAATTATTTTCCATATTTGTATAAAAACGTCAAGTGAAACCCCCGTGTATAAGCTAGTAATAAATAAAAAAATTAAATTTCGTGGTATTTTGATGAAGGTAAGGTAAATAGCTTAACTTCTAGAACTAAATGATTCCAAGACAAACTGAAATTTTTGAACCAAACTACTTGTATATTTTGGAAAATTGTTTATGTACATATGTAGTTAACAGTTAATCTCTTATTAATGTGATAAAAAGGTTTTTTTTTTTAACGATAATGGAAAAGAGAGGCTTGCGAATTTCTGCAAACGAAAAGTTTGCTAAATTCATAGTAATTAGCAAACAAAGAGCAACTCAAAAGTACCCAAGCAAGACTAATGGCGTTCTTGCTTTTTTCTAAAAATTCTTCATTTTATAGATACAAAATGTTTATTTAATTACTTTAGCAACTTTATAAAAATTTGTTAGAGTATTCGCCCCCTACTTTCTTTTTATCCCGCGTCTTTCTTTGCAGCTAACTATGTTAAGAGTCTTTTTTGTCGAAGTTGTTTTTACTAGTCTCTTATCACTTTCAATTTTTGAGCTCGGATTTTTTTTTCGTATTTAAATAATGGGTAAGGCTTCCACAAATGGCCACCGAATTTACGNTCTCTTATCACTTTCAATTTTTGAGCTCGGATTTTTTTTTCGTATTTAAATAATGGGTAAGGCTTCCACAAATGGCCACCGAATTTACGAACATTAATATTTTTCAATGATATTCAGGCAGCGCCGAGTTTTGTAGTCGAACAGTACACTGTGTAATTCTTGTTGCAAAATTTCAATTTTTTTTTTTTAATCAACAAATGAAAATTTTTGCAGTGTTTTGGAAATTTTTATTTTTCTTTGAAATTAAGTGGCCGAATGGAAAATTTTTTTGGGCGCAGAAACATTAAACTATACAATGAAATTATTTGCGTTGCAAAAATATTTTTTTTCTTGCTTTTCAATCAATTTTTTATGAAAAATTGAATTTTTAAGCAATTTCTGCGCCTCGTGGACGAAATTTTTTAACAACTACTTATGTAATAAACATCTGCATTTATCTATGAAAAAAATGCGTGCATTTCGATATGGTCTGGTCGGAATGAATTTTTATTTGCCAGCGTGCGGGCCCAACTTGCGTGGCTGGATCGCGCGCAATCCGTGTTGACTTCTTGAGCAATAAATAAATGCACGTTTCAATCGTTCCATTTTTATTTCTCATGCTCGAATTTTCGTGAATTTACACGGTGGCGACGAATAATTATTACCCAAGTTTTTGAGGCGGCAGCTGATATAGGGCGATTTTCCACTCAGCAGTCGATATGTAAATCGGAAGTCAGCAATCCAGAAGGAGGGCTTACTAAGCCCGACTCAAAGCGATTTGCTTCAAATCAAACACTCTTAAGTGAGTATTCACGTGCTTTAAAGCAATAATTATAAACAAAATGAATTTTGTGTTCGATTTAACACAACCTTTTTATTGTTATCATTTAAATATCCAAAATAGCCAGTTTGATAGTTTATTGAACCCATCACAACTCCAAACTTTCAATGATGTGGGAGTAGATTTTATTTTATTTTTTTTTATTGGTGCAATAAATTAGAATTGCCAAAAATCTGAATCTTCCTTTGGGAGAAAACACAGATACACTTTTAAGGTGCGACTTTAATGAATTCTTACGCGATTTATAAGGAACTCACAAATTTATTACGTTAAAAGATATTAGCACAAAAAATCTTTTGAGCGATTATGGAAAATTAAGAGAAGCAATTGGAGGGGAGCATGGGTGTGACGATGATAGTACATAAATTATTTGCGCTGACTGAGCTCAGCGAATTAAATAAAAAAACATACATACATATGCCGCCTGTCTACATACATACATATGTACATATCGAGGGCTTATATTCAATACCCTCTAACTGTAATTTTCACAAAAATGAGATTCTGATATAAAAATCCACCCAAGGTGCTATTAATGATGACCTTGTATAACGCTTGAGAGAAGAATTTACTATAAAACTGCAAAGTCGGAATTAACATCAGTGATGACAGGTAAGTCCCAGATGGGTTCAAACATCACAAAGTAGTTTTTGTGAAAATTGCAGAAAGAGGGTATCGAATATATGTAAGCCCTCGATATGTACAACGTACATACATCCATACATATGCAAAGCATCCTATGCCTGTAATTCAATTCAATTTAAAATCCTCAAAAGTTAATTTATTCAAGTTCAAATCAGTAAATTTTTTGACGCGTATTGATTGTTGCACAAATGCATTTCATTGCAAACGACAAAATCAATTGATCGTTTATTTATGTACGCATTTACATACATATGTACATATTTATGTATTTAAAAATATTTATGCGCATTAGGCTGGTTCGTGATTCGCGATTTTGTACAAATTTAATAAACTCGCTAATTGAATTTTTCAACACACAACGGTTTTGGAAAACCATTATAACGGTGAAAAATGGTCGACACAACAAAATAGAAAGGACAAAATACCTATAAAGTTTGATCAAAAATATAAACAATGTTTTGCAATGATTTAAAAGATCTTCGTATTTAATGGTCACTTTTCGGTCCCTGATTTCGGATTTCTATGATATGATTGACCAATTTTTTCTCCGACTTTTCTGTGAAAAAATTTGTCGGAAAATTTGTGAGATCTGAATTTAATTTAATTTAGTTAATTTTTGAATAAAATCAAAATACGAGAAACACGCCTTTTTATTAATACCTTGAAAATAAAAACAAGTAATTTTCAAGCAAAAAGCACAACCGACTTTAATGTTCGTATAAAAATTTAGGGGTACCGTTAATTTTTTCATAACCCAATGATCGGAACTGAATCAAATTATTTAGTATGGGACAACCTTTGAGGTGTCCTTTTTTTGGAGTCGGTTAATGAAATAGTTGAGTTGTTCGTATGCATTACGAAATGGAATTAAGACTTTTTGTAAATCTTTCTTATTTACATATATATTTTTATTTATATACCTATGTATGTATGTAAGTTTGCACACCAAAATTTATTATATATTCGCGAAATTGCAGGCAAAATATAATAAAACTGCGTTTGTGGTTTCTCTTTCCGATATCAGGATTTTTTGAAAGTACTTTGAAATTTCAAAGATTCGATTAATACGAAAAATTATTTTAAAAACTAAAATCAATGTAGAACAAGAATATGGGTATCGAATTTAAGAGAAAAATCTGTGGAATTAAAAAACATTAGATTTTATCCTTAACTATCCTTGAAAATTTGCAACATTTATGCTTGAAAAAAGTATAAGTAATATGACTAATATACACGCGGCCACATCGTCGAATTTCGTCATTCTAAATTATTAGCTTCAAAAAATAAAACTAATTACAAAAGGCATTTTCAATACTTTTTCGTCCTTGTGACGATTTTTTTTTTTTTATTATGCAGGGGTTTTTTTAAATTATGCAGGATTTTTTCTTTCATTTGGTGTCCATATTGTTATTCAATATTTCACTGATTTTTTAAAATAATTTTTTGCATTAATCATATCGTTGCAATTTAAAAGTCCTTTAATAAAATCGTGACGCCAGAGAAAAAAACTAAAAAAGCGGTTTTACTATATTTGGCGCATAGTTTTTTGAGAATATTAATTGTATGTTTTGAATTTTTGAGACTGTTTTTTTTTTTCTTTGAAAATGTAATTCTTTTGGGCAAGCAACATTTGCTTTTTAACTTCAAATTTGGGTACCACACAGCTGGACGCATTGTTTGACCAGCCGTTTTAGCCATTTGTGGACTTTTCATAACTCAAACTGGATTACGCTCTCTTACGGGCCAATGAGATGTGTTACCGACTGCCGTTTTAAAACATTGACCTCACTCAAGTTTATTTCTTTGTACCTTTGCAAAAAAGGTAGGATTCACTTCTCTTGGCATGTACTCTAGAGTGGCTTGCGAAAAGTTTGTATTTAAGCTGTGAAAAGAACGTGATTTGGACTGTTTTTAGGAAGTTGGGAGGACGAATATTTTTATGATGATAAAATCCTTTAGAAGTAAGCCTTAAAACTTCAAACTATTTGGACTCGCTAAAGTACTACTTATTGGCCGCTGTACTCAATACATTCGAGCAATAGCAGCATTACCAATTAAAATTATTAAAACAAATAAATATCAGTTAGGTATTTTTTGTCTAAACAAATAGATTAACATATTACAATGTAAGTCCCTTTCACGTTCACATAAACAAGTCAGATCGGACTTGTCCATTTGTAAGCCTGTCGGCAGGCATGTGGCCAGAATTTCAATTAATTCGAGTTTACAATTGAAATGACCAAAACGAATTAGACTTGAAAAGTTCATACATATATCGTATATGTGCATATGCACTCAACAAATAAATAATAATAAAAATTTAATGTCAAGCAATAAAAACGAAAATTTGTTGCTTAATTTTACCATTTTTGGAAAATGAAAACTGAAACTTGTTGCCGCACATGCGAGTGCGAATGCGATTGTGAGTTGTCATTGCAAATAATGTCGACTCCATGCCGACATCGAGGCAAACATCGACAGCCACAAATGACCCTACCCAGCAAGCACTGGAACAAAAATTTTCAAGCGCTTGAGAAAATCTTATTTCTCATTTTGATTTTCAGCATTGTTTATCATTCGAAACTAATAAACATTTTCTCAAATTTTTCTCAAATATTGTTTATCATCTTAAGAATAGTTTGAAAAGCATTTGAGAAAGATTTTCTTAGCATTTCATTCCGTTTCATCTGTGTCAACAATGGAAATATGTCGAAGTCTATCGCTAGTCTGCTACATCAGTCACAAAATGGCTTCTGGACTACGCGTTTGCTGTTATTCGCAATTTGCCTGTCGCAAAATCGCTCCTTGTTCGAGTGAATTTAAAAGCAATTAATTTATTGATTTGAGTGAAAATTGTTTGATAATATTATTTTGTGATTGATCATTTGTACAGACATAAGCTACTGACTGGCCATTACAACTTGAAACCGAAAGAGAAAATTAGTCTGCTGCATCGATTGTGACCAACAATTTACCTACTTGAAATGAAATAATATTTTTATGTTAAACAAAAAAATTATTTTTGTGTGTGTATGACGAAAATCCAATAAAAAACTCTTTTTCTACAAAAACTGTGTGTTTCTTTTACATACATCATCGGCAACACTATACATATATTACAATGAGAGTAACTGGATTTCATTTCGTTCCGCTCCTCTCACGTTTGAGAAAATCTTGAGAATTAAATTTTTCACCATTTGAAAATAAAGAAAAATTTCATATTTAAATTGTACCTTTTTGTTTGGGACGGCGGTCAACGGTTATTTGAGATGCATTTGAGAAGTAACGTTCGAGATTTGAGATAAGGAAAATGCATCTCAAATTGAGATTTAACAAAAATGTTTATTGGGTGTATACATACATATGCACAAATATACATACATACATATGATATATTTACGCGTTTCATTGTTCAAGTATATACATATATAATATATGAAAAAAGTCAATTAAAGCAAACTCTTTTGGCGAGAGTATACTCGACATGGGGGAGGCCACAGGTGCTTCATATTTACGAGTACATACACATACATATGTTTGTATTACGTAAGCATTGCATGCTAATAAAGCGCGTCTATGAACCAAATATTAATGGTTATTATTAAAATTGATTGCAAATGCAAAAATAACCCACACACAGGCTGTCAACTGAATGAATGAATTTATTCTAGGCGAATCAGTTTTATTAAAGCGTTTCCTCAGGAAATTGTATTTATGTATCTTCGAGAGATTTTATTGTTAAGCTAAATACGCATAGATACTATCAAGCCATAGTGGAGAATATTGAAAAATTGTTTCGATTTAAAAGGCAATTCCCTTATTGGAAAACCCTGTGTCTTATAATTGAAACCAAAATTTTTAATGGATACAACAGTGGAGTTATTTCCAAAGTAGATCAGTTCAATTTCTGCATGCCATCAATTGCTTTTTTGTACAATCCTATATAAATATGTATAGTATATACATATGTACCTGTATATTAATTAATTTATGTACATATGTATGTACGCATTATACAGTGCGACTGTAAAATGAATACACAAAAAAAAATGAATATATTCCCGAAACTATGGGCAAAATCAAGTAAAACTTCGTATTTAGTATTTCTCTCTGACTTCAGGGTTTTTTTTTTTGAAAAGGACTTCCAAATTAAAAAAAAAAAAAATTAAAAAAAATAAATGTTTTTAAAAATTCAGTGCAATGTAAAATAACCCTATGGGTATCAATTAAAATAAAAAATTCTCTAGCATTAAAAAGGTAAAATTTTTTTAAGCATCAGGTATGCGTAACGCACGTATCTATGTATATTTCTTCTGGCAATATATGTAATACTTTTTTTTTATTCCAAAAATGGATACTGTGGGTTTTTTTTTTTACCAAAATAATGCATTTTCAATTGTTTTGCTGCCTAAATTTTAAAAATTTTTTAATACACAGTGTTCGTTGAAACACGTTATAAAAATGCATACATATGTATATGAACAAATCTCAAGAGTTGTTAAATTTTTCGATAAAAAAGTGTTTTTGGTATTTAAATGAAAGTTTAAAGAAGATATACTAAACAAGTAATTTTTAGCAAAAAAAAACGACTTATAAAAAAAATATATATATATATATATATATCACGATCCACTGATCGGATCTAAACCAGATTAGTATGGCACCACCTCTGATGCAAAAAGAATTATCGAAATCGGGTGACGTGGTCCAAACTTATGCGGTAACGTACATACAAAAAAAAAATATTCCGATGAACTGATAACCTCTTCCTTTTTTGGAAGTCGGTTCAAAATGGCAGTCGGTTTTGCTGGTTTGGTTTTAAATAATTTTTTGGAGTAATTATATCTTTAAAATTTCAAAGTCCTTTTAAAAAATCCTGACGCTAGAGTGAAAAACCAAAAACACAGCTTTACTAAAATTGGCCTATACTTTCGTGAGTATATATATTGTTTTGTGTATTTGTACAAGGAAAGGGATAATTACTTTCTTTTTTTTTGTAAATTTTGTATTTACAGATTACATGTACATATATAAAAATCTGCAATTTTTTCAATTAAATTAATTCCTACTTACTTATGTATATATATATTTTCAGGCTTCAAAATGGAGCTGGAATGCGATTTGAGCGCAATTCAAAACGAAGATATGCTGCGACGAATGGTAAGTTGATTTTTGTGATACATACTTATGTATTTAAAAACTCAATTCATAGTACGTAGCTAAATTATTGCTAACTTAACCACTAACACGAGTTTAACTATTAATTCCAATTCACAGTCGCCTAGTTAACTATGGAAATTAATATCGCCAAAATTATACAACTCCGAAAAATCTACACTAAGTTCTTTTTGAGATGTGAATTCGGTAAAGTAGATAGTATTAGCATCCTTTCGTAAAAAAAACTGTTCGGTGTTGATTTGTGTGATCTCTGAGACTTTATTAAGAAAGATTAAAGCCATACGACATCCGATCATAGCCTTTTTTGGCGCAAAGGAGCAGCCGTGTTTTCGCGATTTCAAACGTTTTCGATAATATGCTGATTAAGACTTAATGAAAAAGTTTATCGATCCAACATGGCCTTTCGCATAGGTTATCACAAAATTATGCGTCCTTCATAAAGAAATCGGTATAGAATTCGGAATAGACTTCCGATACTCTTAAAGTTTGCGTTACTATTTCCGGAACTTTGGTTTGCAGAAATGTTTTACGATATGAAATAGTTTTACATGTATTTGTATATATGTATAACTACTTATTAGCACTATAAAATAATACTGAACTCAAACGTATCGTATCACAGAAGATATGTAATTTAGGTAGGCTTTAGTAAGTGAAGCCATTCTATTTAAAAGGCCTACCCAAGAAACGCTGAAAAAAGTGCTTCATTGCTGGCCTCTAAAAGGGCTTTTTCTCTCTACAATTTGCGCAAATGTGAAAGTTGATATGAACCTTAAATAAGCACCTTTAGGTAGTATGATCTTTATGAATTAAAGAAAGATGAGGCAAATACAGTGCTTTGCATAATTATAAGACCGACACATTTTGGCAAGTTTTTACTATTTATGTATATATTATTTTACTTCAATTATTTTCTTGTGAAAAAATAAATTTTCATCAAAATTTTAGACTTTTTTTTAAATTTTCAGAAAAAATTTGCGTATGCAGTTTTATAGCACATGCAATTTTATTATGGCTACAAAATACCGTTCGTTTTTGTAAATTTTTTTGTTGACGGTTTTCTTCCATATAAAAAATTTTTCGAACGTACTTTGTATGGAAGAAAATGAGTGACACGCCAGCGCTATGGGCTATAAAACTGCATACGCAAAACTTTTCCAAAAATTCTTAAAAAAAGTGTACAATTTTGGTGAATATTTGCTGAATTTTTATAGTTTTTGCACAAAGTTTGAATTGTTGATTTGTATGGTGTTTGTTAAAGAATGAACTACGTTTTTCTTTAAGAAAATAAATTAAATGAAATAACGTAAAAATAAGTAGTCAAAACTTGTTAATATGTGCGGGCGTGTAATTATGTACTTAAATACATACATACTTAAGTTGTATATGTACTTAAGTTAATTAAGACGATTTAAAGTTTTTTTTTTTAAATAAACACACCGACACATAAACAACAAAGTAAGATTGAACAGAAATCTTCGAATGCAAACTGATTTAAGTCAAAGTCACAATTAATTAATCATGGGTGCTACATTTATGTACATATGTATATTGAAATGAGAATGAATCCGCATATGTATATACATACACCTACGCAGAGAAACACTTTAATCGATTGTAGACATTCGGGCAGACACTGATGCGACATTAAAAATTGTTAAAAATGAATAAATTTTTCAATAAAAACATCAATTGTCTACTATTAATGGATGAGATTCGTTTCACCAACGCGTCGCCATTGTTTATCGTAAATAATTCATAAATGCGTATATATTGTATTGTAGATGTACATTAGAGTGGTCCAAAATTGCATGTAAAAATGTAAAGTCGGAATTTTAATGCCGCCACCCCATAGAATAGTTATATACCCCTAGTTTTTATTAAAAAAAAGTAGATAGTGCTCACCGCGCTCAAAGATTTCCATGTATTTATATGGGGAAATAACAACTTTTCGAAGAAATGGTGCAGAATTCTTGAAAATCGATATTTTTCGATCGGCAAAGCCTGTGTCTCTTCAGCGGATTCTCAATAATAATACCCAATTCTTTATTTAACCATTTTTTCATAGTAACTGTATTTTATAGGTCCGCCAACAACCTCAGGAAATGCAATGGGGGACCAATAAAAAATCTTTAGTATCAAAAAATGGTTAACTAAACAATTGGATATTAATACTGGAAGTCTTCTGGAGATAATCACAGTTTTCCGATCGAAAAATATTGATTTTCAAGAATTCTACACCATTTCAACGAAAAGTTGTTTTTTCTCCATATAAAATGCATGGAAAACTTTGATTCAAAGCGCTCCCTAAATATTTTTTTGATTGATTGATTTATTGATTTCAAAATAAAAAAAATTGGTGTACAGTTTTTTCGGTATAGAACAATCCTAGGGGGTGGCGGTATTAAAATTCCGACTTTACTATTTTTGGACCACTCTAATGTACATACATACATAGTATTACATATATCGATCCAATCGCCTGGAGTTTTGTCATAATTTTTCTCAAAATCAAATTTCAATTAGTTCTTGAGATGGCAGTTCAAAAGAAGTTAATTTAAATACTTACTCAAATGGAATAAACGAAATCGTTTCGAAAAGCCAATATTTTTATTTATTGTATTTATACGAATTTATTATTAATCGTTAAATATAACGCCTGCTAATATTAATTTATGGCCAGACGATGAGCACCGATTATGACTGCGATGATTGTGTGTATGGTCAAATGATGATGGGGGCAACACAAAAACTGGTTCCCGGGGCACGCGCTCAATTAAGCAGCCACTGCACACGAGCATAGTTATGCATTGCAGATACATACATATGTATGTATGTATGTGTGCCTGCATATAAAAATATATATAAAATCTACATTCATACAAACACATGCACATACGGGTGCATATCTTGGCGGCGGAGAAGGTGACTCATACGCCTAGCGGCGCCGCAAATCAATGAGCGCATTTGCATTCAAATAAGTTACATAAATGCATAGATACATATGTACTTATTTGAATCCAAAGGCACACTTGCATATACATATGTATGTATTCAAAATACCTTCATACGTATGTACGCGAGTTCGTTCGTAAATATTGCGCAATATGGGCCATCAGGAAAGCCGCGCAGACTCGTAGGAACTTATCAAGCCCATTGGTGGGATGAATGCGTTTACATACATACATACATAGTAAAAGTTATCAATCAAGTAAGGAAATCTAGGTTTCTAACTAAAAACGCTGGGCTAGCCGTAGCTGGGCCGTACCCTTTACCCAAGGCGTTTAGATTGTAGTCGTGGAAAAGCCGTGCAGCTTAAGAAAAAGTGTTGAGTGGACTCCACCTCATTGTATTTTAAGGAACTACGACGCTGAGGATCCGGTGTAACATCCAGTCTCTCCGCGCTAATATCCATCGCACATTGACCTGTCCGATGCACCTTCGGCTGGACGATTTTCGGCCAGCGTTCGCTCTGCTGACTCGATGCCAATCTGCCCATGGGCACCCTAAATATAGTAAACGGTACTTCTCCCTCGTTTCTCGGTGAGACACAGTCGAAGGTGGCTCTCCTGGACTACTCACAGCAACTTCCTGCAATATCACCATAGCAACAGAAAGAGAGGTCATGCAATACCCTACTAAATAGTTTTGAACGCACTCTTAGCGAACGCAAAGCCCCGATTGCCACTGCCATCCCAGCCACTCAGTGATCGGTGTCAACAGATAGAGTGTCCAAATCCGGATTCAGCTATTTGCCCAGTGCCTCTAAGTCCGATCTCACCCTTATCTACGATGCCGACAGCTGATATGTTAAGTGTGACGTTAAGCGTAAGTGCAGTCTTCACTGGAGACTTCCAACAGAGGAGGACTTCATAAAACACTGTGGGCTTAACTATGGTTTCATGGAGCCAGGAAATAACCTAAGTAGAGAAGCTCCATCTATTTCCAATTTCTTCAGTGTAGTATTATAGATCCACTTCACTCCCTCATCACTCTAAGCTTTCCATGACAGATTCCAATTTACTTGCAGAATCAAGCCTAGGTAGTTGTCTATATCGGAAAGCGTAAAGCGAATCAGAAATCTTCACATCACTGATATCGCCAAATTCGTTTAGTCTCAAGCTTCTTTTCGCGGATATATGTATCTCCCAAAAACATTCCGCATTCTTTCTATCAGCACTATTTGAAATTAGCAAAACCTTGTAGAATTTCACCTTACTTGCTGATATTTTTCCTGCAGGGGTTATCAAGTGCGGTCACGAATAAGAAATTCGAACGCTTACGATGACGCATCATTGTTTGACTATGTATCCTGTACACATCGCATGCGCGCAGGTAGTCCACACTCGGCTACTTGTCTGAATCTTCTGATCGGTTCAAGCCAAACAACTAAGCTACACAGCGTAAACTCTACTCAAAGACAAATATGTACGTACATAAATGCTTATGTATGTATGTATGTACTACAACCAAATACACATAACAGCAACTACAATAAATTACAACGCCAAAGGGCGACGCATAAATTTCTTACCAAAAAAAAAACAAAAGTAAAAACCGAAAAACACTTAAGCTCCCAAATTGGCCATCTGATTGCTACTTACTCGCCTCAACAAATCTAGGCTGATATCATCAAGTACTGAAGCGGATGGGCGCCTGGTTATTGACGGTGACAATGGTTGACTGGTTGGGTTTGCGCAACTTGCTGTCACTTTAGTCGTTCTATACAAATGTATGTTTGTACTTATATTTAGTATGTATGCTCGTCAGTTTGTATTTGTATTTGTTTTTGCATTCATATATTCAGCGTCATCATCATAATCATCATTAACCAGTTTTGGTTGCTTTTCGATTGAGTGAAAACTTAGCTTCTTTAAAATGATATTTGTAAGTGACGTCATCGTTTGTCATCAACGCCAGTGTCAGTGTTGTGTAGTCAGTCAGCTGTGCTGCAATGCAGATTTCATTTTCGCATTTGGCCA